TTCTTTATACATATTTCTTACGACAGGTGGAGCTAAAGCACAGCGTGACGTCTCTGTCTAGCGCAGTAGAGGCGGGCGGAACAAACTTCAGCGCGGGACAGAGACAGCTATTGTGTCTCGCTCGCGCCGCTCTCGCTAACAACAAGCTTATGGTGCTGGATGAGGCAACAGCTAATGTAGATCCTAAGTAAGTGTGGTCGTGGAATAAATAAAAAAAAGGGTGCGTGTACTTATGTACGCGCGTAAGAAGTTATACTTCTTTGGCATTATTAAAAATAGTTTTTGATTGCATGCAAATAATTAATTACAATTAAATAATCAAAGACTGGAAAAGGAGTCATTAAAGTCAATAAAGTTCAGTTTACATTTGAAAAATTAATTAAATAAATATTTATTATTATTCTCTTACATTAAACAAATAAAACACTATTTATCTTTAAAACATTTTTATTTCATTATACTATTTATTTTTAAGTGACTCTAATGTCTTCATCAGAATTTCGGTTTGTAATTTTAAATTAATCATTACTTGGTTGTGCATCTACGAGGCTTCTCCAAAACTACTTGCTTTCTGCAACAAATAAGAGAATATTAATTTAAGCTCTGTCCATGCAAAACTTAAAATTTTTTATAATTCATATTATAATTTTTTTAACACATTTATATTAATATAATTATATAAATGTGTTAATAATATAATTTGTAGCACATGCTACAGACCTGGATAGCAACTTTCTTTTATTCTATTTAGAGATAGAGATAATTTAAATATAATACCGGTGTCTTCCTTGTAGGTTTCTTTGGAGTTGTTTGGGGATTCTTGTTGTTCAGTTCGACATGATTTTCTTTAACCTTTCTTTAATCCTACAAAATAATGAAATTGTTAAGTTATGTTGTCACTGTTGTGCACACCTTTGTTTGGCTTTTTTAGTATTCAAGTTATGTCAAAACTGATTTATTACCTTGTCATTGTTGGCTTTATTTGCTTTTGGGATATCAATTGTTTCCAAAATGATTTTATTTGTAATAACCTGAAATATATAAATAACATCTATTAATTTAAGTATCATGGTGAGTGGTTCGCACTCAGGTATTAAGGTGTATTATACCCACTGTCCATTATAAGTGGGAATGGGCTCACTTCTGGCAGGACAGAGTTTCGGTACTACAAGTGCAACATGGATGTTTTGAGGTATTACAATATCTCTAACTACCCTGTAGGGGAATAAAGTAATGTTGTAAGCATATGCCTATGCTTGAAAGGTTGAACCTTGAACATCACCATACATCATATTTATAATTAACATTCCTACCTCGACACCATCACAATCAAATTCATTGAAATCTACTTCAAACCATTGTGTCTCGAGAAGGTGATGGTGGCTTTGTTCCACCTCCAGTTTTTGATGTTTCACGGCGATAAGATGACAACTCTTTTTTTGTATTCAATTTAGTGCACTTCCACTGATTCATCAATTGTTTTTTGTCTCTTGTCCTTATATTTGCTAGATTAAATCTGATGTTTTGATTAAATAATGTGGTCATTTTTTTGAGATGCAGGTACTTATTAAAATGTTTACTTCTCTGTTATATCGCTCCAAGCCTTCATTTTCTCCTTATTAGTATTCGTGCTTATTAAATCTTTGTTCTCAGTTATTGATATATAGGGTCGTAGAATATTTCTAAAAAGTTGCTGTAACAAACGCAATAAACAAAAGCAATGAATAATGGTTCATGTTTCAGTTTTAATCAACAATAATACTCGATAATACATACGGATAGTTAACCTCAATTGTATTGAAGCACTCAGGAAGGTTAGCACAGTTTTTTCACAAATATTTTATATTATTTCACAAATATTTTGTATAATGAAAATAACTAGGTATATAATTATTAATTTTAAAATTTAAACAATAATTAAAACTCCTATATTTGTTTAAAAGGTAAATGTCATTGTCAGATGTCAATTGTCATGGTCATTCAAAATTCTTGTTAAGCTGCTAAGCTAGAATATGCGTGAAGTTAGCTTCACGCATATTCTATTTCTTTTACTTGTAGTTTGTCTTATTCCCATCTCGCTCGCGCACGCTATAATCACACTCCCAATTTTGTGTCATAGGTGCGCGCGCAATCGTAAAATTTCACTCTCATCAATTTTTCATAACGCGCCTAAAGAAGTACAACTTCAAAAAGGTGAAAAAAATGTATGTTCTGTGATTTTTTAATTTGTCAAAGCAATGTTGGCCTTAAGCACCCTAATGTTGCATTACAATATTGTAAGAAAATCGACAGTAGACAAGAAAATTTGAATAAAAATAAATAAATCAGTGGCGCTACAACTATTATAGTTGTTGTTGTTGTTGGGCCTCAGATTTCTGTATCTGTTTCATGATCAGTCTCTCTAGTAGGTAGGTGATCATCCTGTGCTCGACACACGCTGTCGACTTTTTGGGTCTAAGGCAAGCCGGTCCTCACAATGTTTTCCTTCACCGTTCGAGCGAATGTTAAATGCGCACATAGAAAATCCATTGGTGCACAGCCGGGGATCGAACCTACGACCTCTGGTATGAGAGTCGCACGCTGAAGCCACTAGGCCAACACTGCTACTATTAAAATTTAAGCCCACCTAAAAACTTAGTCATTTTATATCATATAAAGATTATATAAAAAGTATTTATTAATTACAATCAGGTGTCAGGCTAAGCCCTTTGGGCAGTTACGTTTACTAAGTATTATCTATATTTTTGTGTAATTTGTTAATAGACATTTACGTCAAATTTTCTACGTAAGTTTTTTTTCGAATTCTCATTCCCTTTTAACAGAATTTTACCGTTCAATACATTTTATTTGTTTTAAGTTGTAACGGGTCAAACCAAATATAAGTGCCCATAGACACTCACATTACCAGAGAGCTAGCAATTGCCGGCCATTTAAGAATTGGTATGCCTTTTTCTTGAAGGTCCCTAATTATTTAAGAAAAGCAAGGAAGTTTTGTGTTTCCCAATATTTTTTTATTCCGTAATCTTTTACAGCACTGACGCGTTGATCCAAAAATCAATTCGAAGGCACTTCACGAACTGCACTGTGATTACAGTCGCGCATCGTCTTCATACTGTGGCCGATTCAGATCGTGTCGTTGTAAGTATATATCAATTATATACAGAAAACATATTTACAAAAACTTAATAATTAATATCTGGTCACACATTTGGCAAAGCTTCATATGGCAACTTTGGCTGTCGGTAATGACATTATGAATGTACAGTAACATTATTTATGATCACTGATACTAGATTAAAACGTTTATAACATATTAAAATTAAGTTCAAACGTTAAAATAAACTGTGATAATACGACATTTAAGTATTCTCAAATAAAACTTTCTATTAATCTTAAACAGGTAATGGAAGCTGGTCAAATTGTTGAATGTGGTCACCCACACGAGTTGCTTCAAAAAGATGGTCACTTTACAAAAATGGTGCAACAACTCGGTCCCGCTTCGGAACAAAGTTTGCGTGATCTTGCACACACCGCCTACTTGCAACACATTAAATATGTAGATGAACAGTAGATATACTTTCTTAAGAATGCCCTTACAAGAAAATAGTTTGCGTAATTTTTTGGGTCAATTTGAATTTATTTGTCTGTCTAAACCAGAAAATATTTTTAGAAAAGGCTAATGATTTCATAATCAACCATCTGAACTAAATGTAAGTCGACTTGGCGGGAAAATGGCTGTCAATGTCAAAATCTTGTATATCGTTATAACGGGAGACCTATTCATGGCTAATCACGACTGTGTTATTTGACTAATATTGTTTTTAGTTTTTAACATTGGTTGTATGTAGATTTTTATTTTCGTTTATATTATAAAAAGTCCAATTCCAAAAATTCTATTACAACCTTAAAAGTAGTAACTTTTATTTTAAAAATTCCATTTTTTATGGGCATTAATAAGTTAACAAAATCGAATATTAAAAGTTCCTTCTAAATATGGTTAATTTGTATGCAAAAGTACTTACTGCATTCTCAATTTCGAGAGTACCTGATTTTGACATTTACCTAATTAGTGACATTTGTCTCAATCTTTAATTTATAAACACAGACCATCGATAAAAGACTTAGACTAAGGCCGTTTACTAGTTGTACTCCGAACTTTTGCCATATAAAACAATATTTTTATTACTCAAATATTAATTATAATAATATACTCAAAATTGATTACATATACATACTATTAGATGTACTTTAAGCTTGTCCATCTAGATTTACAATAATGTGACTTAATTAATGAATATTTTTATAAAACTTTTGCTATTCTGAGATTTTTAAGCATAGAATTAATTTTGCCTGGTGTATAAAAAAAATCCAGTGAAACAAATCTTACTTTCTCACAACCTAAATATCTTGATTATCAAATAATGGGAATGTTATAGAGATACATATTTTTCGACATTTTTAAAAGTTACTTGAGATTTTAATTGCATTTGTACTTAGATCAGACTGCCAATGTTAGTAATTTGAATGTATGTACTTATGTCAAAGATGCAACTTGACTATTTTCTGTGCTAGAAAATGTTACTTAATTGTAAGAAATGTGATAAATGAAATATTCAATTCTTAAACTTTGTTTTATTCATTTATTTTCGACTTCCCTTCACTACTATTATTTTTATTTAACATGGTTCAAAGTTAAATAATTAAAAAGTTATTCACAGGGAACGTAACACTAACAATTGTACTGTGATTTAGTTTTTATGAATAAGGAGTAGTCTATTTTTTTTAAATGTAATGAATTTTTTGGTTTATTAATTTACTTATTCAAAATGGTATTAAGTTCTTTATAGAAGTGACATAATATAACATTGTTTCAAACTACATTGTATCTTCATACTAATGCTAATACAATGAAAAATACTTGAGTTTAAAAAATATTATATTCTTATAATAAACAGTTACAAAAATAGTTAATTTGATTTCCAAGCTTTACCTCCAATGGATTAAACTAACTGAACTTTTCCATTTTTAACCAAGTCTGCTATGAATTTGTACTGCAAAATATGTTGTGATCCCTCTGAAACAAATCATTTGCATTTAATTAGATTAGAGAATTATCTACAAGCTAAGAATTATTTTTAGAAAAGTGTGACAGTCATGTTTGTAAAAACCTGTATTATGGGGGTAAAGTTTATATTTCCAACAATTAAACATTTTTGGTGACAAACCGGAACCTTTAGTTATTTAGCATAGCTATCCATTTAATATCTAGCTTTAGCTAGATTCAGATTTTGAATTTATAATATTATTACTGTCAAATTTACTCAATATATCTACACTGACTCAGTGGCGGATTCACCAGCAGGCTGAGTAGGCTGGAGCCTAGGGCGGCAGATTTTTATGGCAAATTTTAAAAAGATGGACGGTGGTCTGATATTTTGCAGATAGAAGTCAGCAACAATTTTGCCTTACCAAATAATTTACCAACCAGTAATCGACCTCTGCGCCCTCAGATCTCACTTTGTATGAGTGAAAAGAGCGAAATTCCAGAAAGTGCCCTCTTTCCTCTTCCCCCTATCAACCTATAGGTACATGTTAGTCCTACTGGTGGGAGGCTGCGAACTGGTTGGTTTGTGTATAATTTTGTGCTCAAAAATCAAATCCAAAAATAATTTTACGTGCAACAATATTTTTGGATTCAAAATATAATCTAGGACATGACAACTGTAGAGGCAAGGGCGGCAAAAACTTCACAGTCTCTACCTTGAAAATTTGTAAATCCGCCACTGCACTGACTTGAATAATTTTTGTACACTTAAAGGTTTTAAGAATAGTAGTAGATTATAAAATTACCTTCTAAATCAATCTCTTCATCTTGATCCCCAAAATGGTCCTCTAAAACAATACCATTTACTGTTTCGTTTGCTTTTAAAAACACATGAGATTGCAGAGCAGGTACTATTGCCATTTTATTAATTTCAAAAGCTTGCATATTCCCAGGGACTCGATTAAGTATAGTCTCTTTTAAATGATGCTCTATGCTGAGGAGATATTCTTGTGCATATCTGAACTCAGAGGGTGTTAAATAATTTGTCCCTGATTCTGTTCTTTGCTTCTCATCATTGACTATTGTTATACAGTACTTTTCTATCTTATCAAGTCTAGTTTTGAGGTAGTTGCAAATTATGTATTTTATTCTGTTTAATTCCATTTTATGTATTGAAGCCCGAAGATCAGTTTTAGGTAGTTTGTTTATATTACGCTCCATGTGTTGAATCTGACCTAACATACATTCTACCATGTCATTTCGGTGCGGTAATATTTCAGGAGATAACCGTTCGTTTTGCCATAAATTTTGTATTGTTTTTAGAACAACATCGGCCGTTATTTCTTCCTCTTCGTCGCTTAGTTCCAAATCTTCGGTATCCATTTAAAAGATAAATTAGACTTAGTAAATGATATTAAAAATTAGAATTACTTTTTGTAGGACTTAACAAATCTTTATTTTTCTTATGAGTGTCACTACAGGACAGGTTGTTTACACTTTCTGTTCAAAAAATATATTATGACTTGAAAAGTTATAATAAAATTTTGCTGAAACTTGAATAGGTATGTAAGTTTACTATTAATTCTTAGCTTTTGCAATTTCCAATTGGATGGATTGTTGTGAAGTCTTGAATCTTGATTACCGTTATCGTATGGCGTTGACATTTGACAAAGAAAATAATTTGTATTTTGAGGACCATGTGTTAAACTGTTTGTTACAAACAGCTGTCACTTATTGGCAATTGACACACGGAATGAAACGAAGTTTCGAGTCCAAATTATTGTCTATGTAAGTGATTTTTCATAGTTTAAAAAATAATTACCTTAAACCTAAATTACAATAGAATGCAAGTTTAGTTTAATTATAGTATGTAATGCTATCGAAAATTTTATATTGTATTTCCTGTATGCTTCGCCATTCTGTACTGCTTCTCCAATGTGCATAGTGCATTTTGACTTCTATTTCATTAATAATTTTATAAAGATTTACGAAGTGTAAATAAGATCCCATATAGAAAAATAAATTCTTCAGAGTGAAGGTGTACGCTCTACTTTCGAATGGCTAAGAATTTATTTAGACGAGTATGCATTATGATTTATGAATACCATCAAAGTGGATAAAGCAAGAGTGTTATGTCACACACGTGGAGACCCCTTGTCTCTGCCTACCCCTTCAGAAAATCGTGCTTATATAAATATTTTGGAAATAATTACTACCTATACCTAAAAAAAAAAGCAATATTCTATTAAAATTTATTGTCACTTTTATCGTCACCCAACAATTCGGATAAATCAATTTCACTATCATCCTTCTTTATTTTATTCGTCGTATTTTTATTCGTAATTGATAAATTGTCACTCTCATCCAATATGGAGCTCCCTAGGCTTGTGTTGCTGCCTCCTAAACTTGTTCTTGCCATTGGGACAGGCGTCGGTAAAATGTTAACACTTCCTGCCAAAACTGTGCTCGGTGTTTGAACTCTGCGCGCCATTTGGGACTCTATGGCCTGTTTTAATTCCGCTATGCGTGGAGTTGTCCGAGTTGATACTTGTATAGTCGGATTAATTTGATTCTCATTTTCATTGCTGAAATAAATAATATGGTCTTAGATACTAATAATCTTATTCATAAACCCTACTTTATTACGCATTTCGCATAATTACTATATTAAAGTGATCACGGACCAAACTAGCGTCAGTCGAGTCTTTTTGGCATCAGCCCATTTGGATGCATTACTGAATATTGTTTTTTTTTTATTGGCAATTCACACCAATTGACCTAGTCCCATGCTAAGCTGGTGAAGCTTGTGTTATGGGTACTAGGCAACGGATATACATACATATTATAGATAGATAGACATATAAAAAATACATATTTAAACACCCAAGACCTGAGCACAACACCAAATGCTCATCACATCGATGTTTGTCTCAGCCGGGGATCGAACCCGGGACCCATGGATTCGCAGTCAGGGGTACTAACCACTAGACCAATGGGCCGTCAATTGATATATTATTATGGTTCTTATTCTGAATATACGTGATGAAGAGTACCAATAACTTAAGAATTTAACTTATACTACGAACTAATACAAGATATCTGTCTTCATTTACCTTGATGGATCCCATTCATCTGCATCTAAATTAATAATTCCCAACGTATAATTTTCATTATCGCTTTTTTCAGCTAAACTTTGAGATGGAGACGCGCTTATAGACTTCATTTGTATTGCGTCCATATCAAACAACACTTTCTTCTTATTCAAAGACGAGGTTGACGATGCATTTCTTAAAACACCTTTTGTTTGTTTAATTAAATTTTCTTCAGAAAACGCCTTTCGCGGCGAGACAATATCCTCTATTGATTCTATATCGTCACTTGTAAGATCATTATTAATATATTTACTTTGATTTGGCTCAGGTTTTTTAGGGGAAATAGTTTCTGGGATTTTATTTGCTTTTTTAGGAGTAGATTGTGGTGATTGATGTGTTGTATCATCTGTTATTTTTTTACAATATTTTCTTGGGCCATTGTCTGTTTCCGAATCGTCACTAGACTCCGACTCACTATCATCTTCAACATGTTTTGATATTTTATTTTCCTTTGTTATTTTTTGAGTTCCATAACGAATCGGTGATTTTATTTCTTGAATATTTCTAGGACTAGATTGAATTGAACTGGGAGATGTTTTAAGTAGGGCCATTGCTCTATCAGTGACTGGATTATTTTTCTTTTTGTTTACAGCATCGTTGGGTTTTACTAGAGATAATGCTTTTGTTTTGACATTCGATATTACAGAGGCAAGACTGAAGGTTTTAGTTTTACTAGGCGATGTTTTTTCTAGATCCTCTTGTTGGTTTAGACCTTCTGGAGACGTGTTAGTGTCTAAGTGCGTCAGAATAGAATGGTAAATCTTCTCTCTTGAAGGAAATTTCTAAAAATGGGCAATACATTAAAAAACGGTGGTACAACCTTTAAGGTCAGGCCTCAGATTTCTGCACTAATACAGAAAAAACAATCAAGTGTTTTTTTTTTAAATAGGGAAGTAAGTGATCAGCCTTCTGTTTCTGACACACCGTTGGTCTAAGCGTGCCGGTTTCCTCGCGATGCTTTCCTTCAACAAAAATTGAACAAGACAAAGTTCATTGACACAGCCGGATTTTGAACATACTACGACCTCAGTCCTCGCACGTTGAAGCTACTAGGCCAACACTCGTCTTACAATAACCATAACAAGCAGATAATATATGGCAACACAATACCGAAACCATTACAAGGACGTTTAATAAATAGTAGTGATAATGGATTCATAAAGATATAGAAAAAATATATTTTACCTGAAAGGTGACTTTGTCGAAAAGTAAAATAACATTTAATAAAAACTAATTAAGTCATACTCATTATAACTTTTAATTAATCGGTTAATCACCCTAGTACTACTAGTGAGTACTTTATGAAATCTTTTAAAAAATTATGTTATAAAATATATGTATTTACGAATATACGGTATTGTAAATGTATTTAGTTCAGGAACATGGCTGTAAAATCTTAAGGGCTTATGCATACGTGACGGTTTTTCTCCGGCGGGTCTAGGTCCGGTCGTCAGTCTTGTACGGGGCACTAAGACGCCAAACACACGACGCCGGCCCTAGTGGCCCTAGTAGGGGTTTCTCATTAAATCGAGGGACGTTACATGGAGATTACACTATATAAAGATAATACAGTGTAAACTCCAGTTCCATAAAGCCACTTATTATCAAATTTTATCTTACCTTAGTTTTTATTTCTTGTTGCTCTTGCAACATTGTCCTTTGTTTTTGAAATGCGTTTCTCGGAAGTCTGTTTTTAAGTGGATCGACACCTAGTTGTACCAATCGTTGATTCACTTCTTCTGTTATTTTTGCTCGTACAACTTTTACTGGACTAAAAAAAATATAAGCTATATTAAAATGTATTCGTTTATTTTTAACTTTTATTATATAAATGTTGGCCGTAGCTTCAGCGTCCGGCTCTCATCCCTGAGATCGTAGGTTCGATCCCCGGCTGTGCGCCAATGGACTATCTTTCTATGTGCGCATTTAAGATTCGATCGAACGGTGAATGAAAACATCGTGAGGAAGCCGGCTTGCCTTAGACCCAAAAAGTCGACAGCGTGTGTAGCACAAGAGACTCACTTAAGAGATCACCTACTTGCCTATTAGATTGACAAATAATCATGAAACAGATACAGAAATCTGAGGCACAAACCTAAAAAGATTGTAGCAACACTGATTTATATATTATTTATTATAATAAATTAAATTAAATTATTAAATTATTTCCTTTTGTATAATTATAATATTAGATAAAATAAATACCTAACAGGAAGTGTGACCACTCCATTTTCCTTTCCCATTTTTGGTTTTTTACTTTTCCCATTTAATATTTTACTACGCATTTTGCTCGCTCCTTTTTTATCTGCTGACTTCTTCTGGTAATGATTCGTATTAGGACTGTCATTTGGTTTATCTTTTAGATCTTTAACTTGTCTATTAATTTTGGTTTTGGGTAAACTATCGTTTGCATCACTTGAATCTGTACTACTCTGTACTATGTTTAGTAGATCCTGTGCTTGCTTCTGCAATTTCTCTAGCATCAGTCGATCAGGTGTTGGCTTGCTTTTCTTTGACTTCACTTTCTCTTTTTCATTGTTATTCTGTTTAACCTAAAAAGAAGAAGGTATTCATTATGTTTAACGAGTTGTCTTTACTTTTCTAAGACCATTGGATAAAACGATATCACATATTGATTGCTATTATTCAAAGGATCGCTGACAATTGACTAATGACAATTAAAATATACGCGCCACAATTTTTGAACACTCCTATGCATGTGAGAGGTAGAGTAAGACAGATTTAGAGTTAGGCAAAATGCTTGTAACAATACAGCGGAAGATACGCTATTACATGTCCTTATTGACTGTCTAATGTATGGCTACAACACTGAGCAAATTATGGGAATGAACATAACAGAGACAAACTTAAAAAAATAATATTAAACAAGCTTAAGACTTACTTAATCATACTAGTTGCAAATGATATTTTGCTAATGATAATATTTACACGCACTATAGTCGAGGAATTAACGAAAGAAAATATATAAAAGCTAGTCATAAAATTGTGTAATAATACCGATGTGACGTTCTTTTTATAAGCTCTTTTCTTAGTATATATTCCGATAATATATCAAATAATAATCAAAAACTCAAAGAATATATCTATATATAAACAAAAATTTATCGCTTTTTATTCCTTGAGTTCTGCGTACTGCGTCATTTTCGTAAATTTTTAAAAATAGATGTTCCTATCTATTTCCACTTAAAACTAAGATAGATAAAAGTCTAA